ACTTTCGCAAGGCACTGTATCTGTTCTGTCCCAGCCTTGCCTCAACTTCTCAGCAACCTGCTCTGCTATGAGGCCATTCTCCCAAGCAACCTTAGATTTCTGCTTGGCTCAGAGGCCTTCCTCCTGAATAGCCTCTCCAGCTCTCTGCCTGGCTCCGAGGCTGCCCTCCTGAGCGGCCTGTCCGGCTCTCTGCCTGGCTCCGAGGCTGCCCTCCTGAGCGGCCTGTCCGGCTCTCTGCCTGGCTCCGAGGTCGCCCTCCCGAGCGGCCTCGAACTCCTGCTCAGCTCTGAAGTCACTGTTCCAAGCTGCCTTGGACTCTAGCTCAACACCAAAGCTGTCCACCTGAGCGGCCTTGGGTTTTAGCTCAACTGTGAGGCTTTCCTCCCAAGTAGCCTCTCCAGTCTGCCGCTGGGTCCCAAGACCGCTTGCCTGAACGGGCTTCTCAGTCTAGTCTCAAGGCTGTCCACCCAATCAACCTCCCCAGTTTCCTGTCGGGTGTCCCGGTTGTCCGCCCAAGCGGCTATCTCTGCTTTCTGCCAGGTCCCAAGGCCATCCGCCCAAATGGCCTTCTGCCGGATTTCAAGGTGGTTCGCCAGAGCGGCCTCTCCAGCTTACTGATTGGTCAAGAGGTCGTCCACCAGAATGACCTCCTCAGCTTCCTGTCTGGTCCAGAGGTTGCACGCCAGAATATCCTCATTGGTTTCCAGCCTGGTCCCGAGAACAGCCACCTGCCTGGCCTCGACAGCCGCCTGAACCGATTCCCCCTTTTTTCTCAAAGATTGTTGCCCTTGTTTTTTCACTCTTGGCTCTCTGCTATCTCACTTCTCAAACTTACCTTTATTTAGTACATTTTCTTTTGCTGCTTTTACATTTTTCTGTATGTTTACTTTCTGTTGTCCCTTGCCATGTCCTGGTCTTCCCTTCCTTTTCATTTCTCCATGAATCATTTGTTGCTCTCTGATCCTGGAACAATCGCTTTGAGCTGATATAATACTATATTTGAGGTTTGTAGTTTGAATACTACCAGTGCCAGCCAGCTAAATACACATTTTTCTTGTATCATTTAGTTTCTTAAAACATTTGTTAATTCATTGAGGCACATAGGCTGGTACAGCTATGAGTAGGCAAAAGGCAAAATCTTACCAGATAGTCATCTGGCCTGATGCCAAACAGTTCTCTGAAGTAGCGGAAGGCCACGGGAGCATATGTCTTAAAGCGGAAGTCTGGAAAATGATGGGCTGGAGTGAGGTTGCTGCCTTCACTATAGTATGGAACAAAAGCACATAAAATGATGAAATGACAGTTGTGTTTATATTTTTCTCTAGTGAATATCAAACAGGTATGTTAAGAACAACATTCATTAATACCATATAATCTCTACTGAATTGCACCAGAGGGTTCTAGGGAGTGTTTGTCTACAGTACAGACCTGGGGAAAAAGATGCTCTCCACCACATAGAAATCCTGCATCAACACATCTCTCTCAGGCTTTGAGCTCAGGTTACCCACAGTGTAACCGATACCCAGCTGGATGGCACCTTTCAAGGCCGAAGACGTGGTCTGCAGAGAAGGGTGAGGGAGACAGAGGTGGTGAGTGAAACAGTTGTCCTTTCTTCAATCCTCACAGTTAATTAACAAACCTATTTTGAGATGAAAGAAAAACTCTTCACTGTGGTTTTGTCTATATAAATACTAGAATTACTGTTTTGTACACCTCAGTCAAATTCATGACAATGGAACAGACGTGAGGTCGCTGTGACCTGTGACCACCAAAATCTAATCAGTTCATCCTTGAATCCACTCGCTCAGGTTCTTAATATGAACAATTAGCGTGGAGGTCTTTGTATGTTTAGAACCATAAAAATGTTTTATAGCTGTCCATGTCTAGTCTACAGTACCTTTTTGTAAGTAGTTTCCCCTGATGCATCCACTCCTCTGTGACCAATCTTTTTTCCCTGACCAGGCTGGCCTGAGGATGATGGCATCTGATGACATAAAGAGATAGAGAGAGAAACATTTATTATGGAGGCAGGAGGATTTGCACCTGTTCATTAACAGAGATTATTTAAATATTAAATGACTGGGGAGTGACACAATATTAATGCATGAGAGCGATTTCAAGTTTTGATGTTCTTCACCAAGCAGACCAGGTGTTCACTGTGAAGCAATATTCAAACTTTGGTTCATCTATTCTAATTATTGTAACTTCCTTAACCAGTCAAACTCAAACTGTATTTGGAGTGGACACTGGCTGCACAAACTGTAATATAATCTGATGTAGAAAACATGTTAAATGGTGGAAGCTGCATATTCTTGACTTCAGTGCTTGGACTGGCATAAATATTGTTGGTGCTGTTGGCATTAAAGTAAAATTAAAGGTCCTCAGCAGACTCAAATTAAACTATGTTTTTAATACTTCTAAAAGTTAGCTTTAACCTACAGTACAGTACCTGAAGTGGCAGATGGGTGGGATTTACCAAATTATGAGGATTAAGACCAAGGCCAGGTTGTCTAGCAAATACTAAAGTGATATTTGTCTGACTACACCTTCTTGCACTATATAGTCTGTACTGACATTTTTGATGATCACTGGGACAGATGGTCGCTCACCTCTGTGATGAAGGCTTTCTTAGCACCAGCATCTGAGACAAAGAGAGACAGATGACTGTTAGTGGCAGTAAGACAGACAGGCTCCGTTATTCAGCATCAGCGCTCTGCATGACAAAGATGAAGCCCACAGGGTGGACACAGTAGTCCGACGTTACGTAAACAGTGTTAAATACAAGTAGGGGCCTGACAGCTAGAGGAACTGCAGGACGCATTAATGCCAGCTACAAGGACACAGACAGGACACACAAGCCCTGTGTACGATGTAATTTAATGCAGATAGTAAATACATTTAAGATAGTCTACTCATGGTCCAAATAAGTTAAATCAAGGTAAAAACTAATAGTTTAGTATGTATAGTATGTGACTTAAATATACATAAATCTGTACAAACGCCCAGGTACTTACAGAGCTGTTTACAAGGGCATTCATTTTCTATTTAAACCAACACAAAAAGACCAGCTCTGTATAGTCTGAATTATTTTCCTGTGAAGTGAAAGTACATGCTAATGCTCTGGCCTTACAAGGCCAGTCTGAAAGGTGCCACACCAAGAGACTAAAAATGCAAACAATCACATTACACGTGGCAACCTGACAAATCTCCAAAGTGTAGCTATGACAGCTATGTTGTATCATTTTTAGTCTAATGGCAGAATGCAAGCAGTGGAGGAAGGCAATTTGGACTGTTTTCACCAGGAAGACCTGAAGAAGATGCATAATTACAGATGTGTAACACTCGGCATATTAATTGTAAGAATGAGGGGCAGGAAAGAGAGAGCACACAAAAGAGCAAATGAAAGAGTGGAAAAAGAGAGAGAAAGAGGGCTTCAGACCACACAGTGAGCGAGTGAGGCTGATTATTTCCCTCTCTGTTATCATCGTAACCAATATCACATTCTGCGGAATCCATGAAGACACTGCAGATATGTTTACAACAGCAGCAATGAGGCCTGGTTGTTGTGAATAAATAAAAAGGGGCTATAAATATCAGTGATGATGTACTGTAATTCCTAATTTTATGAACACTTTGGACCCTAGTTTTATTTATGGGTCACAGCCCCCAATGTTCCTATTACCACGGGGACCACTTGTGCCTTCACCTTCCACATCTTTTCTAGCTCTTCTTTCAGCCCCTGGTATTTCTCGAGCTTCTTGTGTTCCTTCTTCCTGATGTTGCTATCGCTTGGGATCGCTACATCTATCACTAAGGCCTTCTTCTTCTGTTTGTCCACCACTACTATGTTCGGTTGGTTGGCCATTACCAGTTTGTCAGTTTGTATCTTGAAGTCCCACAGGATCTTAGCTTGGTCATTCTCAACAACCACTGGAGGTGTATCCCATTTTGACTTTGGGACTTCCAGCCTGTACTCGGCACAGATGTTTCTGTACACTTTGCT